CCCCAAAACCCCAAAACCCCAAAACCCCAAAACCCCAAGATATCAGACCTTAATTGAGATATTAGATGAAATCTACTTAAATCCATCATCAAAATAAGAGTCCGGAAGAGCAAATCTTACTGTTCTCTTTGATATCTCGTCCAAACTGTTTAGCTTCAAATAATGAGGGTCATCTACCTGCTTGTAGGATTTTTTAATCTTAATCACCTTTAGATCTTTCCCAGAGTTTAGCTTTTTGATTATTTCGGGATCACTCATCTATTTTTTAAGCAAAGGATTTACCTTAGTAATAGAATCCTGTATCTGATGAATTCTCTTGATGAAATCAAGAGAGGACTGGGGCTTCTCCTCTCTATTCATAGCAGCAGTCACCGATGCATCTTTCCGAATCTTGTTCCATTTATGAAAAGCAATAATATCTTTGATAGCCTGCTGAGGGTTTTTTATCTTACTAGCTCTGACTATTTGTTGAATATTCTCTGTGTTAAAGATCTCGTTGAAATTTTCAGCTGAGAGATGCAGCATGAAAGTATCTTCAAGAGCCACAATTTTATTCATCCTGAGTTTACTTTTGCGGAGAATTTCAGTAAAGCCAAACACTTCTCCTTTAGCAATTTTGCCCATCTTTCATAGTACAGAGTTGGTCGTCCTCTCTATTTCCCATTGCGATATGCCGACTGGGTATTGTCTGAAACTATCCATGTCGAGGACCGAGTAAGCCTCAGCCATCCCACTCTGGATGATATAAATCCCATTTGTCTCCTCACCTTGATTATATACAGTTCTATACTGAATTATGAGGCTTACTTTCCCTTGGAGACTTTCTGGATCTCAACCATGTGTAGGAGTCTTTCTCTCTGAGAAGTCTCTAAATTCTCAAAACTAGCTGAGTTATTTGATCAATTCTCGATTTAGCTGTGTGATTGCCACGCTTAGATTAGTCATGATATTTTTGAAATCTTCCAATGTGAAGGCAAGAAGCTCACAGTCCTTCAATGCTATAGCTGTGTATTCCCTGACTTGGGTAAATTCGATAACTTTCTCGCCAACTACGTTGTTATAAGGGACTTTTTCAAGGAGCAGTGAGTTATTTATATAGTCCAACTTCTCCATTATAGATCACATACATTTCTTTACCAATAGAATTAGCTTCATAGATAGTTTGGCCCTTCTTGATCTGCACCGAATCAAGCTTCATAGCTGCCTGCTTGACAGCCTCAGGGTAAAAGTTCTTAGTGAAATAGGTAATTCGCGATTTAAGGTATTCATTTACAAATTTATGTTCAAACTCAGTCCTTTCAACATGCCTCTTCTTACAAATAGCGAAGATATCATTGGTGCTGAAGTTGCCTTTGGCCTTTCTAAGCTTTCGGAATTCCTCCTGGTTCTCTAGCCACTCAGGGAACACTTTCTTCTGAAAGTCTTTGTCAAAGTAAAAGTTATCTTCATCATCATTCTTCTCATTCAGAGAGGAGACGCTGGTCATACTTCCAAGGTTCATGGTACCCCTCTTAGTGCTAAGAGGTGACATTCTCATGATCTTCGTTTTATTTAATAGACATCCTTCTTCGAAGATTCTTCAAATGAGGATTGCTATCAACAGGCTGTTTGACAAACTTCTTGAACTTAAATTCAGAAGCATTCTGAAGATTATTAGGTTCAACCCTCTTCATCATAATGATAGGCTTCTTCTCCCGAAGAGCTTGTAGGTTTTTAAATTGATTATTTATGATTGAAACGGTCCTTTTTAAGGAATTCTTCTTAAATGAGGAGTTTTTTGACATCGCCAATCGACTCTTCTTCATAATTCTTCTTGCATTAGTGGTTGGACTAGGACTACCTACTGAACCAAAAGACTCTGAATGGGAGAGATTAGTGCCTGGATTTTCTTGGATGGCCTGCATTTGAGAATGATCGTTGTTCACACTTAAGTTCACCTTGCTAGGTGAGAATGAGAATTGAAGAGAAGCATTTCTTGATACATAGTCATCATTCTCATCACTATCAAAACTGCTTGAGGCTGATAAGGATTGCTCCATAGGAGATGGAGCCTTTGTTATCGACTTATAACGCCTGTTCTCTCTCAAGGGTGTTACTTTAGGGAAATAATTCCTTCGCTGAAAATCTGAAAACTTATTTCTTCTACAACTTGAATAAGCTCATTTCTCAAATTTTCTTCCTGCTTTCATATTTTTAGGAACAGCTAGTTTAAATTTAGGCACTGAGAGCCTAAACCTATCTTTCCCAAGGTCATAACATCATTTAGAGTTCTGGGATATAGTCTGATAATCAGGATGGTAGTCCAGCATTGATTTAATTTTATTTATTCTATATTCTTCCACCCAATTGGGGTTTTGGGGTTTTGGGGTTTTGGGG